AATGGGGAAATGTCAGTGGATCAAGAGCTAATAAGTTAAGAGTTTTGGAGAAGACTTGACATTCCCTCCTAAACATCGATATCATACAATCCAGCCGCAATGGCATTGCATCACTGTGCTGGAAAGAACAAGATATTTATAGAAGGAAAGAATATTATGAAGACCGACATCAGCAGAAACAAATGGTGCCTTTAAAATGCAAACGTGGCTCAGAGTCTCCACATCTAGGTTCGCAAATTTCACGTCTTAAACACATTTAATGGAAAGGAAGGTCTATTGAAACGAGAAGGGTGAAGGTAATTGGCAACACAGTAGAAGAATGAAAGGCTTCAAGTGGTGATGGCGGTGGTAGATTTTCAGCTGACACCAGGGCAAGCCTGCTGGCGATAAGAGGGCAAAAGAGTACTAAGTTTAGTGAGGTGCCAGTCCAAGTCTATCCAACGTTTGCACTTTTAGCAACGTTGATCAGTCTTTGCAACCTTTCGCATGCAAAAACATAACAAGCATGCTAAAGCCTCAAAACATCATCTTCCAATGATCTTTTATCTTCTGCGACTCAACTGGTTGCCAATAAAAAAATACTGATTCAGACACCAGCAAGTTTTTATGAAGCCAGAATAGATAACTAAGCGAACCTGCGTAGAGGAGAGCGGCGGACTGGCAGAGTGTGGCCTCTGTCGAGAGCGAAGTCGCTGACGAGAGCACCCATTTTGATGGTTCTGTTGGGGCTGAGCATCGAAGACAGAGGTGGCGTCGGTAAGGGAGGAACAGGGCAGATCAAAAAGAATTCCTCCACCACCAAAAGCGATACCACCAGAGGCTGCAGCAGCGAGAAACTCAGCCCGCGCCTCCACGCTCGCAGGCAGCACGCGAAGGCGACGAGCCAGACGCGGAGTCATGCGTCGTCGCTCGCCGCCGTTTGTTGCGGGCAGTGCCACTGCCTCACCGACAGTGAGCAGATCAAAGTAGTAGCGTGCATAGACTGCTGGTGGCACGCCTGTGTTAAACTGTAGTAAACTCAGTGTATGCCGCTCCAGGTCGTTCCTACAACAATGGGACAGTGGGACTGAAAACGATAGCTTACATGTTTTCAGGGCTCGGTGAAACATGACGATAGCGCAGAGACAGTCATTAGTACGGTAAACGAATAGGCTTCACGAACATAACAACGAGCATTAACATTACCTCCCTTATTAAATGAATTTCTCAAGCTATAAAAAGCTCTTCCTAATGGAAGATTCTGAAAGGAAGTTGCAGTGTTGCAGTAGCTGGATGATGCTGTATGGACAGCCAATGGCTTGTGATAGTAATCAGGACTATCGCTGGCCCAGCATATTATCCCGCGATGAAATTTCAAAGTCGTAACAATATTTACGACAGCTTGTAGTATCTACCAAACGAATGATAATTCCAAACTTGCCCACAGTTAGTATGCTCATGCTTACACACACTTAAAACAAAATGTCCGAATTTTCAGACATTTCGTGC